TTTATAATTTGTTTCTCCAGCTTCTAGGAAGCCTTGCTGCTAGGGCAGGTTGGCATGTTAACTAAGGCAGAAAAGGAAAAGGATTGGCAAACTTTAATCATCACTTCAACTATCAGAAAATGATAATTTCATTGACTACATAAAGACATGTTTATGACAATTTTATGAAATTTCTCTCTGTACAAAGGTGCTGTGGGAAGTATAAGGAACTCGGAATAGATTAAAGACTTGGATGTAAGACCTGAAACCATAAGACTCCTAGAAGAAAACAGGGAGTAAGCTCCTTGAGATAAGTCTTGGCAATGATTTTTTCAATTCGACATTAAAAGAAAAAAAGCAAAAAAAAAGCAAGAGTCCCACATCAAACAAAAGGGTTCTGCACAGCAAAACAAAAAGGCAACCAACCTATAGAATGGGAGAAAATATGTGTACATCATATATCTGGTAAGAGGTTAATATCCAAAATATATGAAGAACTAAAGTCATATAACTCAGCAAAAAAAACAATCTGATTAAAATGGGCATTTTTCTAAAGATGACATCCAAACGGCCAAAAGTACACATAAAGGTGACCAACATGACTAATTATCAGGGAAATGCAAATCAAAACCGCAAGATGTGACCTCACACCTGTCAGAATGGCTGTCATTAAAAGACAAGAGATGTGTTGGCAATGATGAGGAGAAAAGGGAGCCCTCATGCACTGTTGGTGGGGGAATGTAAACTGGTGCAGCCATTATGGAAAACAATACGGAGGTTCCCTAAAAAATTAAAAATAGACCTATCATATGATCCAGAAATGCTACTCCTGGTTATATAACCAGAGGAAATGAAAATAGGATATTGAAGAGATATCTGTGCTCCCATGTTCACTGCAGGGTTAGTCACCGTAGCCAAGAAATGGAAACAACCTCAATGTCCATCAATGGATGAACGAGTAAAGATGTGACATATATACATGTATATATGTATATGTGTGTATAAAGATGTGCTATACGCAGACACACACTCTATGGAATATTATTCAGCCATGAGAAAGAAGGCACTCCTGCCATTTTCTACAACATGAGTGGACCTTAAGGGCATTGTGCTAACTGAAATAAGCCAGAGACAGACAACTGCTGCGTGCTCTCACTTCTATGTGAAAGCTAAAAAAGCAAGTCAAACTCACAGAAACAGAGTGGTAGGTGAAGTGGTTCCCGGGGCTGGGTGTGGGGGGACACAGGGAAAGGCTGATAAAAGGGTAAAAACTTTCAGCTATAGGTGATTAAGTTCTGCAAATCTAGTGTAAAACATGGTGACTATACTTAGAATACTATATTATATCATTGAAATTTGCTAACAGTGTAGGACTATAAAGTGCTCACAAACAAAAGGATAAATGTGAGTTGATGGATGTGTTAACTAACCAGGTGGTGGGAATTTTCTCGCAGTGCATACGTATATCAAATCACCACAATGTACACTTTAAATATCTTAACAATTTTTTGTCAACTGTATACCTTAATAAAGCTTCAAAGAGAGACAGAGAGAAAAGGATGCATACAGGGTTCTGCTAGCATTTATACACAGATATTCATATCATCAACTGACACAGTTTCTGAAATCCAGGTCTCCCGTACTTAGCACGACTCTTGTCACCTAAGCTACCCTCTCTCCTCCCCCAAAACGCCAACATCCTTCTACCCATTAGGCGTCTCTCCTGAAAAAGTCTCCAAGAAGTTTTTCTAAAGATAAATAACCTTCAGCTTAGCATACAAAACAGTTCCCAGTTTCCATCCCCAGTAAATGCTAGCCAGCCTCCAACACTGAATCAGTCCATTTTCAATTATATTTGGGAGGAATTAGGGGCAGGTTTAACATTTGTTAATGATTCCGGAGTAAAAGGAGAGGTTTGCCCCCATGCTCTTCCCATGGTCTCCACTCCCCCAAGTGGGCTGGGTCGGGGCCAGGGAGCTCTGAAGACCTGGCTCCTAAATCTCAAGATGGGGGAGGCTCCTGGAGATGAGAATACGGAGCAGGAAATGTGCCACCTGGAAATGGGCTCAGGGATCCCACTCTGAGAGGCAGCCTGGCCACCCCCACTCTCCTCAAATTGCTTTCCTCAGCTCAGCCCCAGGTGTAGGTCTAGCTGAGACAGTGCAAACCTGGAGCCCCCAGTAACCAGGAAATGCACCTGAGGCAGACGTCACACTTATCACTTTACCAGGCTAGCGTTTTCATTCTTTCCAAGATATGCCAAGTGATACAGCTGACCAGGCTAACATGTTTCCTGCTGGTGCTTCAAAGACCACTGACTAAACACACATGTCTGGTTCCTGACCCATTACTGCTTAAATGACCTGGACTCTAGGACCCATTACCAAGCTAATCCAACCAGCCTGTCCTGTGCCGAGGGGACCCATTATGCCCCTGCCCACACAATCCCTCATTCTTTAAAACTCACTCCAAACACAGCATCCTCTGGCTTTTCCAGACTCCTCTCTGAAGACCAGTTCACCTGCCCTGGGCACCAGGGTGTCACTATAAAAACATCAACTACTGTAGTTACCACAGGCCCAGAGCTGTCAGGGTCCTGCCCCATCCCCCAAGGCCAGGAGAAACGGTGTCTGGAATTGCATTTTATCTATTTTTGGAGCTGCTAAAACCAGGGCTAAAACAGTCACTGCAAGAAAAATAGCCTAGAATCCAGTTGGTGCTCACAACAAATATTACATGAATGGATATATCTAATGATTTTCCCACAGAAGTTTTTCTAAACCACAAGTCATTTTTTTTTTTAATTGGGGAATTAGGGGAAGGGGAACAGACAAGTTGCTGTCTTTTTGTTCTTCAGTCTAGTTGTTGCTTCACTGGCCCAAGTTGGCACCATCACTGCGCTCTTCCCAGGGGAGGCAGACCAGTCGCCGGCTTCTGGATGGCCGCTCACAGTGGCTTGAGGGCCGCTCACGCTGGCTGCTAGCTACACACGGTAGCCCATGGCAACCCACTGCAGCAGGGGCTGCAGCCTACGCCATCG